TGACTATGTTGACATTTTTATTCCCTTTGTGGCATCCTTACACTAGTCATCACAACACCAGTCTATTTGGCAAATTGGCAAACAAAGGAGACCTCCAGTCAGTGTGAATTTTCTTGTATTTATCAGAATAGAACTTGCTGTCCAGAAACACTTAGGGGTCCATTCACAAAGCTGCCGTAGGCAGCCGAGTGAATAACCGACCCGAAGAGAAGTGAGACGAACGCTATTCACTTCAGGCTTGTATGGCTGATTTCAGCCGTACACCGACTAAAATCAGCCGTACATCGTACATGTTTGGCCGACCTGAAGTGCAGAAGGAGTTCGACTCAGCCGATCCAACATCTGGATCGGCTGAGCCGAACCTCCGGCAGGCTACTCGAATAATTGAAATAGCCAATAGGAATGTAGCTATGCATTCGATGTCAGAAGAAAAAAAAGACAACAGAGCAGGGAGCCGCTATCTAATAGCGGGAGACTCCCGGAGCGTCCAGGAGAGTTGGGCTGTCTGGAGATTATCGTCCCTGGTTACCTGGTAACCAGGGACGCTGATCTGTCTGTGCAAGTGGCCGGAGCCAGCCGTGAGATGACGGCCAGCTTCGGCTTTCACCTCGGCTCAGTCGAGCCGAAGCATATGCCTTCGGCTCGACTGAGCCTCTCGGCCAACTTCGGGAGCTGTACGGGCTATAGTGAATAGCCCGTACAGGAGCCCTTCGGTTCTACTGTACCGAAGGGGTTCTGGGGTCGAAGCTAGCCGAAGGATCAGCCGAAGCTACGGCTAGATCCTTCGGCAGCTTTGTGAATAGACCCCTTAATCAAAAGTTGTACACCATAGAAAACAAAACCCTCTATACGGAGCCAGCTTCGGCTTTCACCTCGGCTCAGTCGAGCCGAAGCATATGCCTTCGGCTCGACTGAGCCCCTCGGCCAACTTCAGGAGCTGTACAGGCTATAGTGAATAGCCCGTACAGGAGCCCTTCGGTTCTACTGTACCGAAGGGGTTCTGGGGTCGAAGCTAGCCGAAGGATCAGCCGAAGCTACGGCTAGATCCTTCGGCAGCTTTGTGAATAGACCCCTTAATCAAAAGTTGTACACCATAGAAAACAAAACCCTCTATACGGAGCCAGCTTCGGCTTTCACCTCGGCTCAGTCGAGCCGAAGCATATGCCTTCGGCTCGACTGAGCCCCTCGGCCAACTTCAGGAGCTGTACAGGCTATAGTGAATAGCCCGACTGTTGAGGCAGTTGGTGAGCCCAGCAATGTGGTCTGCATATGTGAAGGTATGGCAGGAGTGGTATCTGTTAATTCGGGATGTCAGCGCTGTTGATGTCGGAGAGGTAGGTGTTGAATTGGTTCTTTATTTTCTTGGCTGCAATAATTTACAGGGTGCGTCTGCGGCTTCTGTAAGTAGGAAGCTCTCGGGTTTGGCGTTTCTGTTTAAGCTGTTGGGTTTTATGGGATTTTACTAAGGACTTTGTGATTCGTCAAGTGGTAAAAGGTTTTCGTAAGGGCCAGCATCGTGCTGATTTGCGTAGGATGGTTACTTTTGATATTTTGGGTAAGGTCTTGAGTCATCTCCCTCAGTGCTGTTTTTCCAATTTTGAGGTTTTACTTTTTCAAGTGGCCATCACGTTGGCCTTTTTTGGGGCTTTTCGGATTGGTGAATTAGTTAGTCCCTCCACGCGGGCACATGGGGGTCTCTTGTATCATGAGGTTGACCTGTCGGCTGATGAGGTTCGGATTCTGATTCGTCGCTCCAATACTGATGTGATGGGGAGAGGTGCATGGGTGGAGATTCAGCGGGTGAGGGGTTCCCCGTTGTGCCCGGTTCATGCAGTGGAATAATTTTTGTTGGTTCACCCAGCGTTGGGAGGGTCTTTCATACTTCATGTTAACGGGTCTGCTTTATCGCGATTTCAATTTACTTCTGTCTTTCGCTGGGGCTGGTATAGACGCTAAACATTTCTCTTCCCACTCCTTTCGAATTGGGGCTGCTACAGAGGCTGCTAGACGGGGTTTGGGCGAGGATGCCCTCAAACGCATAGGAAGGTGAGAGTCTTACCGGTATCGTCTGTACGTCCATCCTCATTTTGTTTAAATCGCGTTGTGTATAGGCTTTTATTTCGTCTTTTTGCATTCCGTTTGTTTGTTATTATTTACAGGTGGTGGACCTTGCCTCGTTTGGATCCTAGGACATTCCTATGTGTTTTGGGGGGCCAGACAGGCGAACGTTCGTCCTGATGGGAGACATTTGGGCATTTCCAGGAGCTTGGCTGACATGTGCTGGATCGCTATGCCGGGCATGCTGTGGAGCAGAGTGGTCCCGGAAGTGCATAACTACGCACGGTTGGATAGGGTTCCTGACATCTTAATACTGCGTGTTGGTGGGAACGACTTAGGTCTATGGTCCATGAGGGAGCTTATCCGTAATGTTAAGTTCGACTTTTTGCGTCTTTGTTCAGCGTTTCCGGGGACCTTGTTGGTATGGTCGGAGATTGTAGCTTGCACATCCTGGTGCTTGGCCAGGTCGGTGGAACGTCTGAACAAAGCACGGATAAAGGTGAACAAGGAGGTTGGCTGATTTTTTGTGAGGAATGGGGGGATGGTCATCCGCCACCAGGAGTTAGAGCGGGATACCTGCCAGTTTCTGCGCAGGGACGGGGTTCATCTGAATGCGGTGGGGACCGATATGTGGTTCCTGGGCCTTCTGGAAGGAATTCAGATAGCTTTTCGGGTGTGGCGGGGCGCCCAAGTGTAAGCTTTCACACTTGGCCGCTGTGGCAGAGTCAGCAGACATGGTGGACAGTAATATCGGAAAAATGTCTCTGCATCAATTCTGTGGTTGTCCCTGTGTCAGTGGATTGCGGCTAGGTGCCTTAGTAATAGGTATGCAGAGATGGTTGTTTTAAGGTAACGGAGCATTCACGGACCTCCAGGCATATGTGTGTGTCCATGTGTACATATATATATATTATTATTTTTTTGTATATAGGCGTAGGTTGGTGTACATGGACACACACATAATTAGTTAATCGTGGATTATAGTAATAGAAGGTTTTATATGGATTTGTTTATGCCTTACATACTTGTAATAAAGGGCTTCTACAGCTAATTTATATCCAATACTGTGTGGTCTGTTATTTTGAATAAGGAAGTTAAAGGGGGTGGTGGCGTAGCAGGAGTTGGGTAGGAAGGAGAACCTAAGTTTTGCCCTAGTCATGTGCACCCTATAGAAATCTACCACTTCTTCTAGATTCATGTTGGATTGATTGTGCATTCATAGATGGGAATGTCAACATGGTCAATGTATAAAAAAAAAAAAACAGGTTTTGTGTGTTGTGTTATATACCTTCATTTGTAAGCTTCTTAAAAAAACTGGTTGCGGGAGCTGTGATGTCTCCCTCTTTGTACTTTGGACTCTTTCTTTTGAAAATAGTATGATCATTACTAGCTTATGTAGTCATATATTAGGCCTACAAATCTTTAATCACATAATTCTAATTACTGGAAAACATAAAAGGGAATTTCACTAAAATTCACAGGTGAATGTGTAATAGTTTTAGGAGATATTGGAAAATAAAATATTCAAACTGTAAGTGCACTTTTAGCACACCTATACTTATACCCCCCCCCCCCTTCCTTTCCTTCCCTCATAATTTTTACTTTACTTTAAATGCCAATTCCCCATGATTTTCACTGTCTGTCCGACACCTCATACCAATTCCTCTTGTTTTGTCCCTAGCACATGTGCAACCAGAAATGCATTAACTTCAATGGGAAAACCTGCCAACAGCTTGATGAGCTGTGTACAGACTTTTCAATTATGTGAAGGGAGTTAAACTGAATATGTACCAAACAAAATGGGTAGGAGCAAGAACATTTTGAGGTGTTGCTGTGCAGAATTTGTTAGTATTGGCCAGGCCACATAGAAAAGATCACCAGAGAGCTGCATTTCAGATAGGTATGTTACAATACAGAAATGCTGGGGAAGAACAGGGAGCCCTGGGGAAGATACGTGCAATAAAGGAGCACCTAACCTTTAAAATACAGTTGGTCTAGATGGAAGCAATATTTTCAAATATATGGCTGTCCTTCGGTAATCCCAAGGAGAAATACTATCATGGTCTTTTTGCTGCCTTCTTTTGACTAATGATACAGTACAACAAAGAGTAATAGATGACAAAACAACATTATACATATCTGAATTGCACATACAGAAGTAATATCTTTTCCATACCTAGTTAAGAAGTCAAATAGTCACTTCTTATATATCTTTTGTAACTCTATAGGTTTACGTTTGGGCCAAAAGCAAAATCATTCTAATTTGTTTTGGGGTTTTTTAAATAACATTTTACATGTACAAAAATTAATACAAAATAGAACAATTTTTTTTTTTTTTAAACGACTTCAAAACACCTTTGAAACCTTGAAGCAGAATCTCATGTAACATAAAAAATAAGTTGGCCAAGCTGAAGTAAAAATCAAAAAAATCAGTACTGTCCCCTGCAGTACTATCTCCCCACCACTAGATGCCACCAGTCTTCCAAATTGAGTGACGTTCAGCACCATCCAACCTACTTCCTCTGAGCCCAGTGTGTCATTGACCTGTTCCTGGGGTGGCGTCATCATAGGGCCTGGCCAACCTGGGCTCAGAGTACTACTGCACTGAATGGTACATATGCATTATTAAGTGAGCACCATTCAGTCCATGGGACAGGACCACCCACTGCCGCCACCAAAGGAGAAAAGGATGGATCTTTGACGTCTATGGACTGGCCAGAAGACCTTTGAAAAAAAAGGTGTGTGTGTGCAGTTTTTTTGTGGCGTAGGGAGGGATTTTAAATGCAGTCTGGAGTCCTGCTTTAATGCTATGAGAAATCATACACATACATTTACACAATGAATGTTTCATATAATTATGAGTATGACTGTCAGAAGTAAAAGCTGAGATGGTCAAGATTAATCTTAGCAAAGCAATAGTGCAGTCCACAACAATTTTTGCTTTTCTGGTTTATTGCTTTTTTATGCTGGAATCCATTTCTGGTCATTGTTGTAAAGAAATGACTGTTTTCCTAGGTGCCGAGGATTGTAAGATGCTGTGGTGGACAAAAAAAAACAAACAGCTTTAAAATGGATAAACACAAAGATTATGTTTATAAGTACAAGTAAAGTACACCTAGACATAGAAATCTTGCTGTGTGACTGTATTCAAATTTGCCAACACCCCTGCCAGACAGCACAACCAGATCTTTAATCCAGCAAAAGCACAGCTGGATTAGGAACAGTGGGTTAAACTATCCCCAAATTCCTGATTGAAAAATCAAGCAGTGATGAGGTCTTATCTCTGCTCACTCTGCTCTCTCTTCCTGTAAGCATGCTCCATTTCAGCAAATGTGCATGTAGCCGAGCCTGATTGGCTACTAGTGTCTGCCCCTTCCTCTTCCCAGTCTAAGTGTTGCTACTCAGGAGAATACTGGAGATTTATATTAATACAAATGTATGCACTTGCATGAGTTTCATTTAGTAAAACATATCATTATTCTTTCTTAAAGGAGAACTATGAGGTGAGTGAAAATCACTCATCCTCATAGTTTGAGCCGATGTGTGGCAATGAAACTGTCACACGTCGGCTCAATAGATTGGGAAGTGAGCGAACACATACCGTCGTTCGCTCACTTCTCGAACATCTCCCTGCAGAT